CTCGCATGGGACTTCCTTGCAATTTATTCAGGGATCGCCTTCTCGGCGCTTTGGAGTCGCCCTCTCGGTGGAGACTTGCTTGCAATTTACTCAAGAATAGCGCCCTTGCGTTGGAATTTCCCACAATTTACTCAAGCGCCGCGCTCCCGGCACTCAGGCACCCAGGAGTCGCGCTCACGCTTAGGACTCCCTCACAGATCTCCTAGGAATCAGGATCTCGCTGCCCTTCGTGGCCCCGTTGCAGCCCTTCGTGGCCCCCTCGCTTTGTTTCGTGGACCCGTTGCAGCCCTCGCTGCCCTTCGTGGCCCCGTTGCAGCCCTTCGTGGCCCCCTTGCTGCCCTTCGTGGCCCCCTTGCAGCCTTTGGCCCCCTCGCTGCCCTTCGTGGCCCCGTTGCGGCCTTCGTGGCCCCCTCGCTGACCTTCGTGGCCCCTTTGCACCCCTTCGTGGCTCCCTCGCTGCCCTTCATGGCCCCGTTGCAGCCCTTCGTGGTGTCCTCGCTGCCCTTCGTGGTCCCGTTGCAGCCCCTCGTGGCTTCCTCGCTGCCCTTCGTTGTCCCCTTGTCGCCTTTCGTGGTCCCCTCGCTGCCCTTCATGGCCCCGCTGTCGCCCTTCATGGCCCCCTCGCTGCCCTTCGTGGCCCCATATATGTATGCACTTCGTGGCCCCGCTCGTTCGCGCCCGTCGTGGCCCCATATGCATGCCCTTCGTGGCCCCGCTGTCGCCCTGCGTGGCCCCCTCGCTGCCCTTCTTGGCCCCGCTGCTGCCCTCAGTGGCCCCGTCCTTGCCTTCCGCGGCCCAATATACGTGTGCCCTTCGTGGCCCCCGCTCGTTCGCGCCCGTCGTGGCCCCATGTGCATGCCCTTCGTGGCCCCGCTGTCGCCCTTTGTGGCCTCCTCGCTGTCCTACGTGGCCCAGTTGCTAGCCTCAGTAGCCCTGTCGTTGCCTTCTCTGGCCCCGAATTATCTGCCATTCGTGGCCCCCGCTCGTTCGCGCTTTTCGTGGCCCCATAAAACATTCCCTTCGTGTCCCCGCTGTCGCCCTTCGTGGCCTACTTCGTGCCCTTCGTGACCCTGCTGTCGTTCTCTCTCTCGCTCTCGCTTTTGCTCGTCGTCGTCGTCGTCTTCGTCGTCGACGTCGTCGTCGTCGTCGTCGTCGTCGTCGTCGTCGTCGTGGTCGGTCCACTGTCCGTCCCTCTTGGGGTCGGGCTGCCGCCGATCAGCGCTGCCGCTGGCCAGGCCGACGGTCCGTGGCCGCCCCGCCGCTTGCCAGGGCCCGGCCTGCAGGGAAGAAAGGTATACCCCCCAAAAGGGGTACGATCGAAGACGAAGAGGGCGGGTATCGAGGCTGTGGGAACTATGCGTTAACAGACACTCGAGCAGATCAGAGCGAACAGTCTTAAACTCATTGTTGTTGTTGTTGTTGTTGTTGTTGTTGTTGTTGTTGTTGTTGTCGTTGTGGTTGTAGTAGTAGTAGTAGTAGTTGTTGTTGCGGTTGTGGTTGTGGTTGTGGTTGTGGTTGTGGTTGTTGCTGCTGCTGCTGCTGCTGCTGTTGAGCTTTCATTTCTGAAGAATAATTATAGTTGGTCCCCCCGTCCGGTGCGCGTCGTTTTTTCGATTGAAGTGCCCGTCCGGGGGCTCGTTTTTTTTTTTTTTTTTTTTTTTTTTTTTTTTTTTTTTTTTTTTTTTTTTTTTTTTTTAAAAAAAAAAAAAAAACTATTTTTTTTTTGGTTTTGGTTCTTTTTTTGGTATATATATATATATATATATATATATTATAAAGAGGGAACGTCTTGAGGGGCAAACTGTTTCGTTGTCCCCCAGTTTACAACAACATCGGCTCCCGCCTGATATGTGCTTACAATTGATTGAAGAATCGCGCTTTCGCTTGGGACGTCCTTGCAATTTTCCACCGGTTCGCGGCTCCCGCTTGATACTTCTTTAGAATGTATTGAAGAATCGCGCTCTCGCTTGGGACTTCTTGCAACTTACCACCGGACCGCGGTTCCCGTTTGATACTTCCTCATAATTTATCCAGATGCCGTTCCTCGACACTCAGGAATCGTGCTCCCGCTCCATATTGCTTGGCGGTTCAAGCTGAATTTACGCTTCAAGGACCCACCCGCTCGACCCGAACGTCTGGGCCTGCCCGCCCGACCAGCCCGTTAGGGACTGCAGTCGCCGCTCGCTGCCCTTCGCCCGCCTTCGATGCCCCTCGCTGCCCGTACTGTTTCTGTGGTCGCCTTCGCTCGCTGCCCCGTTGATGCCCTCAGTGGCCCCGTCGCTGCCCATTGTGGCCCCGCATTATCAGCCCTTCGTGGCCCCCGCTCGTTGTCGCCCGTCGTGGTCCCATACGCATGCGTTTCGTCGCCCCGCTGTCGCCCTTCGTGGCCCTCTCGCTGCCCTTCGTGGCCCCATTGCTGCCCTCAGTGGCCCCGCTGTCACCTTTTGTGGCCCCACATACGAATGCCCCTCGTGGCCCCCGCTCGTTCGCGCCCGTCGTGGCCCCATATGCATGCCCTTCGTGGCCCCGCTGTCGCCCTTCGTGGCCCCTTCTCTGCCCTTCGTGGTAGCGGCCCCGTCGCTGCCCTCTGTGGCCCCGGATTAATTGCCCTTCGTGGCCCCCGCTCGCTCGCGCCCTTCGTGGTCCCATACGCATGCCCTTCGCGGCCCCGCTGTCGCCCTTCGTGGCCCCCTCGCTGCCCTTCGTGGCCCACTTTTTGCGCTCAGTGGCCCCGCTGTCGCCCTTTCTGGCCCCATATAGGTATGCCCTTCGTGGCCGCCGCTCGTTCGCGCCCGTCGTGGCCCCATATGCATGCCCTTCGTGGCCCCGCTGTCGCCCTTCGTGGCCCCCTCTCTGGTTTTCGTGGCCCCGTTTCTGCCCTCAGCGGCTCCGTCGCTGCCCTCTGCGGCCCCTTATACGTATGGCCTTCGGGGCCCCCGCTCGTTCGCGCCCGTCGTGGCCCGCGCCAACAACGGCTCCCGCCTGCGTTCCCGCAGGTTTTCGGAGCCTCGGGAACTGCTCGGTGGTCATCGGGGCAATTCTCAGCACCCCCAGAGGTCATAGGAGGCTTTCGGGTGCCTTCCAATCCTCCCGCGCCATGTTTCCGCACGGGTCTCCGCTCGTATCCACCCGCCCTCATGTTTCAACGTTTGTTTTGTCTCCCCAGTCTGCTCTACTCCTTCTCTTTATCTTCATATCCATGTCGTTCGTACTCCATTGTGCTCTTCCTCAGTTCTTCGCATTCCGCCCACCCCTCCCCAGGCCATCCCATCCCACGCCAACAATCTCCACCCCTTCCCGCTCGCATTCCGCATTTCTCCCAAATTATTTCCAGTCCCTCCTCCAGATTCCTCCGTGCGCCCCCCGCTCCTCCGCACTCCTCCCGGTTCCTCTTCTCCACTCCTTGCCGCTCCTCCTCCTGATACCCTACTCTTGTCCACTCCGTCCCAATCCACTCCACATCCCCGCGCCCCTCTCGACGCGGTTGCAGTGCTCATTATCTTTCCGCCCTTTTCTCCCAACGTCCCGCTTCTTTTCAGGTATCCGCGAATATTGTCTCTGACGCCGGTTCGCAGCTGTGCGTCCCCGCGATATGTTCCTTCAAGGGGGTGGTGCGTGGCGCTGTTTATGGCGCGACCCATGGCGAAACTCATTGTTAACCTGTGTTGGAGTGGCTGGCGCATGCCGTGGCGGAATCTGAATCGCAACTCGCAGCGAAAATCATCTTCTCGTCCTCCCTCCTTCTTGCCCCTCCCCCCCTTCCTCCGATCTCTTCGTCCTTGTTCTCCCCCGTTGTGTCGCCTTCGTTTTCAAAAGGTTTCACCAACCACGCGCGGCAGGGAATGAATGTGCCCACCAAAAGGGGGCTCGATCGAAAACGAAGTGGGCGGGTATCCAGGGTTTGCGATCTGCATATCGAATGACACGCGAGCAGATAAGAGCAGAC